TGGGTGCTTGAGATGTTGAGGGCTGGATCTGTGTTATTAAGTTTGATATTCCTTTGACAAAATTTGGGTCTTTGAAAAAGGCTGAGTAGTCCGTCCTTGTGGCTTGGTTGTTGCACCGGTCTTCTCTTTCTTCCGGCATGTCGCGACGACGACATTTGCTTGACGATGATAATGTTGTTTTTGACATGCTGGAATAGCCCTTCTTCTAGCGCCAATTGTCGATGTCTAATAATGACCAACAATGTGTTCGAACTGCACACTGTGATGTACTCTGTTTGGTCTGCACGAATAGTTTTTATGTGTGTGATTCGGTCTAACTTAATGGTCTGAATGCTCGATCTATCCGTGACTTATTAGGTAATTAATGAGAGCATTTACTCATTGCATTAAATAATGTCCTCTCCTCCCTTATATATGAAGTTTAGGGACCATTACATTTTCCTCTTGGGGATTTTTACATTTCTTTTTACAAGATATTTTTGGATATTAGTCATTCCACATTAAATGCTAATTGTACTTGACAATCTAATTCCAATATTCAGTAATCTGTCCAGATCGTGCCACGCGTCCCCGCTTTTCCCTCGCCGTCGAATAGGGGATTTTGTATATCTCTGCATTTAATGCGCTCAGTACGGATGGCTTTGGGTATTGATTAGATTAGATCTCGCTCGCTTACTCCCATCCGTTCGGCGGTGGCCCAATCTCAGATGCATCCAGTTCGTCTTTTCCATGTGCATACAAATTTGTCACAAGTCTTCCCTTGTTACCACTCGTTCGGTCTATACCACCAACACTCGTTCGGTCTATACCACCAACACATTTCATCCTTATGAATTAAATATGCACCAATAATATCAACTATGCATGCATTGTTTATGTACTAAATATGCACATTTTACTAACGAAATATGCATCATGAATGAATTAAATATGCAACAAAAATATTCAATAAAATATACATTTTATACAATTAAATTAAATATAATAATTAATTATTTTTATTATATAATTAATTTTAATTTTAAATTTATTATTATAAGTTATTGATCTACACAAATACATTGTTATGATTGGATCTCAAATAAACTAGGTATGCACTGTTCATGAACAAAATATGCATTTCGTATGAACTAAATATATATCATGAATTAACTAAATATGCATCATAAATTAACTGTATACGCATAATTATATATTTAATTTAAATATAACAAGTATGCATTTTGTATTAACTAAATATGCATCATAAATTACCTAAATATGCATCAGAAATTAATTAAATACTCATCATAAATTACCTATATAAAATATAAATTTTATTGCATATTTTCATTGCATATTTAGTTCATTCATAATGCATATTAAGATCATAACAGATGCATATTTAGTTAATAACAGGTGCATACTTAGTTGATATTATTGGTGCATATTGAGTTCATAAGGACTGCATGTGTAATTCATATTTTCGCTGCATATTAAGTTCATTCATGATGCATATTAAGTTCATTACAGATGAATATTTAGTTAATAACATGTGCATACTTAATTGATATTATTGGTGTATATTTAGTTCATAAGGACTGCATTTGCAATTCATACCCCATGCATATTTAGTTCATATTAAATGCATGGTACTGGATGCATATTTACTCCATACATAATGCATACCAAGGGCAACAAGTCAACACAGAAGTCAACGGTCAACGCCAAAAGTCAACGATTTTTGGCGGAAGTCAACGGTCAACGCCGGAAGTCAACGGTAAATGCCGAAGTCAACTAATAATAATTTTAACATTTAATTAATATTTATTTTAATAGCTTTTTATCTAGACAAAATGAGTGCCTAAGATTGAGTCTCACATCTCTCTAGATCAACTATTTCACGAAAATGCTCTCACATCTCTCACGTTTTCTCTCTCTAGAAACCTAACCCAATAATCTCAACCATTTTCTTCCCCACCTGCTCCGACCACCCCACTCCTTGCCGGCGCCCACCGTCGTCGGCGGCGAGCCACCTGGCCTCGCAGGTTCTGGCCCACCACCTCCATCCCCTTCCACCCCCCATTTTCTCCATGGACTCCTCCTCATCCCAGATTCCGGCCACCACGGTGTTTTGGACTGGACCCAAGCTCCTCTTTTTTTGTGTCCTCCATGGAAGGTTCAACTTTTGGTCCAATAAACTCAAGAAAAATTTCAGATCCGCTTTTCAACCATATGAGAGGGCTCATCCCAAGACAGGCGATTCCCCAGCGATAGACGGCCCATCTCTCGGCGTCTCTGCCGCTTCAGCAATCGCCGGCCACCCCTGGCTGGTGCAGTTCGGCTCGATTCCGCCTAGTACCCTCCAACCATCGCCAGAAAATTCAGCACCAAACCCTTCTTTCCACCACTCACTGTGTCACCTATAGACACCTAATTTTCCCTCAGCTCCCCTCGTGGGCCAACAGTTTAGGCCTCTCCCACGGCCCAATTCAGACCCTTCACTCTATCTTCGTGGGCCGTCCCACTTGGCTCATTTTACTTCACCCCTACCTCTCCATCTCAGTCCACGCAGATGACTTGGCCCAACGCCCCTCATGGCCCAACCTCTCACCCCATGCCCAACACCACTATTACCTCCCCTCTTTACCAGTTTGGACCACGACCATCCCCGCCAAACCAACTATCGGCGACAGTCTTTTCAGAACCTCTACCGCCAGAAGGCATTCCCCTCCCTGGCTCTGGCGCCGACGACCGCCGCTATGACGCCCCGGAAGGCACCCTCAGCCAGGCGGAGACCACCCACTTTTGACACATATCGCGGACCCCTTGCATGACCCGCTGTCTATCACCGCGCCGACACCCGCCCAGCCTGATCATGCCACCGCAAATCCCGGTCCCATGAACACCTCTGGCAAAGGCCCTTCCTTCTCGACGCCAATGGTGATTCTAGGTCGCAGGCCTTCCCCTGCAACTGCCGCACCACTGGAAATCATTAATTATAATCATTATCTCCTCTTTTTAGAGTTGAAAGAGGACTACAATTCGGTTTGGATTAAGACGCATCTCAATATCTTTGGATGCTCTAGTCTGGTGTTTAAATACACCACGAATTTCTCTTTTGTTGAGGAATCTCCCATCGTCCCGGTGTGGTGCTGCCTTCCGGGCATTCTACCATATCTTTTCGACCCTTCTGCCCTATTTTCGATTGCCAGTTGCATTGCCAACCACATTGAGATTGATGCCGCTACAACAAACCGATCGAGGTTATCTGTCGCACGGGTGTGCGTGGAGATTGACCTCAAAGACGAGCTCATCAAGGAGATTGAGCTTAACCAAGCGGGCAAGACCACGATCCATAAAGTGGTTTACGAGAGAGTCCCCACGTTCTGCACCCTATGCAGTCATGTAGGACATGGGGCTGCAGAATGTTATTCCAAGGGCGACAAGCCCCGACCCACTTTACACCCCTCCCCCCTCCCCCCGTCGCCTTGTAGTGAGGCAGCGCCCTACTGCCACCCCGGGGAGCCCTAAGGAGAAGGGCAAGGCCCCTGCCCATGGTCCCGACCCGAAGGGACAAAAGGGCAAGGGTAAGATCACCTCAGAGGTCACCTGGACCAAGGAGGCTATCATGAATGCGCCTAAGGCCAAAGCCACAGGCCTATTCCCCCATCAGTCTCTCCAGATTTCCTCTATGGCTACTCACTCTCGCTTCTCTGTGCTTGACATTGAGACGGAGGAGGAGATCCCCATTTCCTCCGATCTCTTAGGAGCTTCGACCATCTCCCCCTTTGATGACGATGACCTCCTAGCCGATGAGATAAAGCCCTTGTTACCATCCGACTCGGCAAAACACCATTAAGGAGTTTCAAGCATCATGTTAAGTGAGATTAACTATTGAACCGACATAATCCGAAGCCACACCAGTCCACGCAATGAACCGGTCCGAACTACCGAAGACCGAAGTAACCTACACTTACCGACATTAATTTAAATCAAGATCACCACCTGTCACCACCTATCGAGGTCAACTTGAACCGAGGTAATCACCTCTTAAAGCAGGTGACAAGGCGTCTACACACCCATCGCAACCCCCCGAGATTTATCATCATCCACGTGGGACCCACTGCTACAAACCGCCCACCAAAAAGTCACTTTATACAAAAAGTAGTACACGAATCCCAATGTATCCATTGAAAACGTTGCTATAAATAGCAACCCAATAACATCTGTACGGGGGATCTCTCTCCGAACTCATTCATATGCAACACGTAAAAGCCCACAACGGCTCTTCACCTCGGTTCACCTCAGACCGGGGCCATTGTTGAGTTATTTCTTCATGCTTTGCGTCCAAACCGTTCATAATTACCTACTGAATCATATGTTAGATCGTTGTTAAAAATCATACAACAACAGTTTGGCGCTAGAAGGAGGGCCCTCATAAGTGATTTGAGGTTACTCTCCGCTTTCACGTGTAGCGATTCACGCCAGCCATATCCATCATGTCTCATTCAGATCATCGTGGTCACACCTCACGAGACGGCCACAGTCGCAGTGATGCGCAATCCGTCAGACGACAAGCCGCGGCCCCACCTCTACCAGATTATGCTGTTCTGTTTCAAAATCCAGAGTTTGCACGTGGTTTTGCCGCTCTAATGGCCCAAACACTTCCGGGAACATCAACGACTGCTCCGGGACACTCCATCATTCCCACGACTCCTGCAAACCAGTAGAACCCACCGGCGTGACAAGACGGCGGAAGGACAACATCTTATGCTACGTCTCAACTTTGTGACCGAATGTCGCAACTGCCTCCGGAACAAACTACGCGTCGCACCGACGTTGGACGTAACCCCCTCGTACCTCCTCGCGAAGAAACCGCAGAAAGTCAGTCTGGACATTCACGACGGTTGCCACCTCAGGCCCGACAACGAATCACTTCCAATCCCGCGCAGACTGACCTTCGACAACATATAGAAAGGAATCGGGCTCGTCAAGGTGCCGACAACGGGCACCTGAAGATCCCCCTCGGCGGGCCTCCACCTCGGCGCCAGTGTATCTGGAAGCCGATTCTCCTCTCACTCCGGAGCTCACTTCGGAACCTGTACCTGGGAAAGTCAAAGTCCCCCAGATTGGACTATATGACGGAACTTCGGATCCTGATTCGCACCTCGGTCATTATACCTCTTGGATAGATCTGCATGGGGCCTCAGACGCACTCCGGTGTCGTATGTTTTCGCTTACACTGGGGCCTCGAGCCCAAAAATGGTACCATTCTCTCCCCCCTCACTCTATTTGGAAATGGCAACAATTGAGGTCGGCTTTCCGATCTCATTTCATCGGGGCTCAAGTCTGCCTAATCCCTAAAGAATCTCTTGCAAATGTTACTCAAAAAGATGATGAAAGTGTCAAGGATTATATTGCCCGGTTTAATGACCGAGTCCAGAATATGGAACCTTGTCATCCTGAAACTCTGCTTGTCATGGCTATTGCTGGCGTAAAACCGAACTCGATTTTCCGCTGGACACTGTGCAAGAATAAACCGAATACTTTTCAAGAATTTCTCGCTCGAGCTCAACAACATATCATAGCTGAAGAAGCCATGTCGGTCCCCGACTTTAACTTTAATCCGAAGTCATCTAAGGCGGGAACCGATGAGAAGAAAAAGAACAGATACTTTGAAAGACAAAACAAGACTCAGTTCAGGGGGCCTCCTCGGGGAGATCCCAACGATCCTGAAGTTCGAGCGGCCCAAAAACAATATGCTACCGATGTGAAGTCTGGTTATCAAACCGTATATTCTGCGGGAGCAGCCACCATATATGAAGAAATCAAAGGGAAGGGCATTTTACCAGATCCTAAACCACTTCGGATGCCCGAAGAAAAACTGGACAGGTCCCGGTACTGTGATTATCATAAATCGCCAGGGCACAACACGGATGAGTGTTTGAGTTTGTTAGCCGCATTATTGCGTTTGATTGGTCATCCGTAACTTCGAAAGTTTTACCGTAACAGCGATCCCCAAAGGCGAGGTCCGGGACGTCAGATCGAACCCTTTGATGAAGATGATGAAGAGGACCGAGGTGCCATGCCAAAACGCATCCGACAAGGAGACAAGGAAGTATTTATGTTCACCTCGGAAACACCCGATTCAGACTTTACCGAAATTCTCCGAGGATGTAAACGAGGTCGATCTCCTGAACCGATGCAAATCACTGTCCACCGTGTCAACACCAATAACTCCCGAAGTACATTGTCCCGTCGACAGATCAAGGCTTATGCCCGACAAGCCTGCAACTCCGGTAAACAAGTGTACACTACAGATTTGAGAGATATCCTCAACAATCAGAATTGTCCCATTACTTTTAATATGGAGGATGCTAATCACTTCGCACACCCTCATTCCGACGCACTTGTTATCACCGTCCCAATATGCGGAATCCCCGTACATCGTGTTATGGTGGATACTAGAGCCTACTCGAGCATTTTGATGTTAAAAGCTTTTGACAAAATGGGACTTGATTCCGCCGACATCCGACCTTGCAATGACCAGATACAAGGGTTCAATGGCAGTATTTCGAAGCCTATCGTCGAGATCACTTTACCTGTCAGATTCGGCACTTCGGAGAATGTCACTAAACTTGTCATGGAAACGTTCAAGATTTCAGATATTAATAATGAATACAATGCCATCATTGGCAGAACAGCATTGTATAAACTTCAAGCTGCAGTTTCAATTTTTCACTATGCTCTGAAGTTCCCGAATACACGAGGAGAAGGAACACACTTCGGAGACCAGAGAGAAGCTCGAGAACTTATTACATTCATACCATCTAGCGGCGTCCATTCCACCTCGACAAACAACTCTCCTTCACAACGCGTCTCAAACGACACGGCGTCCGAAGAACCGAACGACCACGTAGGTGATCCTTCCACTTCGGATCCTTTGACCGAAGACCGTGGTCGCCGACCTGGAAAGGAGCCACTTCTTGAAGAGGACGAGTTGGACCCTAGAGCCTTGTTTAAAGAAAAAAGTCGAAGTGATCGAGCTGAACCTGGAGAAGACGTAGAATTGATCTATATTGATGAACCAGTCTTCCACAAGTCATTGCGTATCGGAAGTCATCTTCAAGAACCTCTTTGGTCAGAACTCATCTCGTTTCTCAAACACAATTCTGATGTTTTCGCTTGGAAGCACGAGGATATGAAGGGCATCGACCCCGGTGTTGCTAGCCACAAGTTGAATCTCGATCGAACCATCTGGCCTGTTGTGCAAAAGAGAAGAAAACTGGGGCCGGATCGTCAGAAGGCGTTGGAAGAAGAAGTCAAAAAACTCATCGACAACAAGTTCATCAAGGAAGCCAAATACCCGACGTGGGTCTCGAATCCTGTTCTTGTCAAAAAGAGCAATGGGCTATGGAGACTGTGTATCGATTTTTCCGACCTGAATAAGGCGTGCCCGAAGGACAGTTACCCGCTTCCCCATATAGACTACATGGTTGATGCCACGTCGGGACATGAGTTGATGAGTTTTATGGATGCTTACTCCGGCTACAATCAGATTCCTATGAATCCTGAAGATTCTGAACACACCTCATTCTATTCGGCACGAGGCTTGTACTGTTCTACTATGATGCCGTTTGGGTTAAAAAACGCCGGAGCCACATATCAACGCCTCGTCAACAAAATGTTCGCTACATTGATCGGTCACACTATGGAAGTTTACGTTGATGACATGCTCGTCAAGTCGGTGCACGCCTCTGATCATATAAAGCATCTTCAAGACATGTTCGCCATCCTCCGATCTTATTCCATGGTCTTAAATCCTAAGAAATGTACCTTTGGAGTTGAATCAGGAAAATTTTTGGGCTATATGGTCAGCCAGCGCGGAATTGAAGCCAATCCGGCCAAAATAAAGGCCATTCAAGATCTAACTCCCCCGACCTCGGTTAAGGGTGTTCAGGCCCTAACCGGCCGACTTGCTGCACTCAACCGGTTCATCTCCAAGTCTACAGATCGTTGCAGACCCTTTTTCGAAGCAATCAAAAAAGGAAAACGTTTTGAATGGACAGAGGAATGCCAAAAAGCTCTCGTTCGCATCAAGGAGACGCTTGCCTCTCCGCCGACTTTACAAAAGCCAAAACCTGAAGAAATGTTGTTCTTATATCTCGGAGTCAGTGATTCTGCCATTAGCGCTGTTCTGATACGTGAAGAAGGACTGTTGCAATCACCTATCTATTGTGTCAGCAAAGCTTTGCACGATGCCGAACTGCGTTACCCTCCGATGGAAAGTTAGCGTTTGCACTTGTAATTGCAGCCCGAAAATTGCGACCTTATTTCCAAGAACATTCTATAACTGTTCGCACTTCGTATCCACTTCGGCAAATCCTGCACCGACCTGATTCCTCGGGACGCATGGTCAAATGGGCCATTGAGCTCGGACAATTCGATATCCATTATCAACCGAGGACCGCGATCAAGGCACAAGCCTTATCTGACTTCATCGCCGAGTTCACTCCGACCATAACAGTTCATCATGATAATCAACCATGGGTCCTTTATATTGATGGATCCTCAACAGCCAACCGAGCAGGCGCAGGGATAGTTTTAGCTGACCCAGAAAATCGGTTATTCTGTCATTCGGTGAAGTTTCTCTTCCCGGCAACCAACAACGAAGCCGAATACGAAGCCTTGCTGTCCGAATTGAATTTGGCCGAATCCATGAACGTGAGACACCTTAAAGTCTTCTCGGACTCCCAACTTCATGTCAACCAGATCAATGGTTCATATGAAGTCAAAGAACCTCGGTTGACACCTTATCTCTCTTTGGCCAAACGAAAATTATCAAAATTCTCCGCCGACCTTGAACATATCCCCCGAACTCTTAATGTTCAAGCCGACGCCTTATCTCAGCTAGCATCCAGTACCGGGATGGAGAGCGCGGAGTATGTACAAATCGGCCAGCAAGAGAAACCGTCGACTGCACTTTTCGAGGTCGCAACTATCGATCCGGTGACGCCGCAAAAGCCACCGACTTCGATGGATCCTATTATTCATTACTTGGAAACTGGGGCCTTGCCCCCGGACCCAAAATAAGCTCGTGCACTTCGGATCCGAGCAGCTCGATACACATTGGACAATGGAACTTTGTTTAAAAGGGGGTACTCCGTCCCACTTTAAAAATGCGTGAGTGAAACTGAGTGACATATATTCTTGAAGAAGTCCACGAAGGAATCTGCGGAAGTCACCCCGGTGCACAAGCATTGTCTTACAAAATCTTGCGACAGGGTTATTACTGGCCGACCTTGAAAACCGACGTTGCCACATGGGTTCGTAAATGCCCAAAATGCCAAGTATTCGCGCCTAATGTCCATCAGTCTCCCGAAGAGCTCAAATCGATCTACAGTCCTTGGCCTTTCGCCAAATGGGGGATTGATCTCATAGGTCCTCTGCCAACCGGAAAAGGAGGCGTCCGATTTGCCATCGTAGCCGTTGATTATTTCACTAAGTGGGCTGAAGCTGAGCCGTTAGTCACGATAACCGAACAGAAGGTCGTTGATTTTTTATGGAAATCGCTCATCTGCCGTTTCGGAGTCCCGAACTCCATCATCACTGACAACGGTCGGCAATTTGAAGGCAAACAACTCGAGTCCTTATGCGAAGAGTATAACATCAAACACTTCTTCTCATCGCCTTACCACCCGCAGTCCAACGGTCAAGTGGAAGCTGTAAATAAGCTCATAAAAAATGGCCTTAAAGTCCGACTTGACGCTGCCAAAGGAGCTTGGCCGGAAAAATTACCGCATGTCCTGTGGGCTTACCGAACTACCACTCGAACTTCTACCGGCGAGACCCCGTTTTCCTTAACTTACGGCTCAGAAGCTGTAGTCCCGGTCGAACTCGGAGAACCGACGTACCGAGTTCAACATTTCACCGAAGAGGCCAACTCGGAAAACATAAAGGCTAATCTAGACCTGCTTGAAGAACATCGTACCCGGGCCGAACTCAGGAATGCCGCTTACAAACAAAGAAGTGAGAGATATATCAATTCTAAACTCAAACCTCGTTCATTCCGAGTTGGAGACTTGGTCCTCAAACGCATAATGGGGCCTGACCCCGGACCACTCAAACCAAAGTGGGAGGGGCCTTACCAAATCGTTGAGGTTTTACCCCATGGAGCATATCGGATTGCTCATCCCGACGGGACACCTCATCAATATCCCTGGAATGCTGTGTTCTTGAAAAAGTTCTATCAGTGAACGGTCCGAAGTCGGATAGTCGACTTTTCTTTTGCACGAACCTTCTTTTTGCCTCGGCGAATGTATGAAGTAACTCTTTTGATGTACTGAAGGCCTATCGGCTTTCGCTTTTGAAAATCCGAGCAGCAGCTCGATGCCGATGTAAACATTTTGAAGCTCAGTTCTATAAATCTTTTGTACCGATGTAAGCATTGCGACACTCGGTCTTGCTAACACCCCATAATATGTCCGAGTACCACATATGTTCGGATGGGGGCGATGCTCGTCAAACGTCATTTCAATATATTTGATTTGACGGGTCCCGAATATTACCGAATACAGAAATATAAATCGGTTGGGGCCATTCCATAATCGAACTCTGACGAAGTTCGGTGACTTCTATTTTATCTCCCGTACAGCCCTAAAAATGTGTTAAGTTTCGCGAAGTTATTTAAAAACTCGCATATCGACTTACAATTGTGGCTGAGATTATTACAACAGATCAAAGTGGAGCAATTCTTAGTAAAATCTGTACCGAATTCAGAACACTTTGACAAAATCGCTGAAATATAAACAGCAAATGTAAATCACAACAAAGATTACGCAAACACTTCATATATATCTTGAAAATGTCAGAAATATCCCACATATTTTCCTACTAAGGGACTCAGTTATCTGATATCCCCGATTATATATTTCTTCATATT